TCTTCTGATAATATTTTTTCTATTAATTCATCATTTGAATTTAATACATTTATAGAAAGACCATTCATTTGAACTGTTTTCTTCCAATAGTCCGCATCTTTATTACAATTATTAATTGCACATTTACAAGGTTCTTCTTCTGATTCAGAAGATGTGGTAGAAGATATTTCTTCTATTTCAGTATCATCGTTAATCACTACTTTATATAACATTCTTTTAAGACATCCGTCTTCAATTTCACTAATTTTCTTTTTTTGTATAACATTTATTAGCAGTATGACCTAATTTTCCACATTTAAAGCATCTAATTTCTCTTAAATGTTTTTTCTCTTTTTTAATCTTTTTCTCTCTAGCTTCTTTATTTTCTTTATGAAATTTTTCCTTTTTCTTTTTAAAAGATTGTTTTTTCGTATTTTTCATTTGAATTTCTTTATCAACCCTATATGGTTGATTAAAAGCGAATTGTTCGCAAAATTCTCCTAATTCTTTTCTTTTAGTAAGTCTTTGAGACTTTAATTGATTTTTTTTAATTTTAAATCATTGAATAACGCTAAGCCCTCCTTTATGCACGCATTAATTAAGTATCCATATGTTAAGTTATCATGAGGAATATATCCTCCAAATTCACTTTGAATTTTATTTCAAACTTTTCAGCAAATAAAGTTGGTAAGCCATCTACAAATTTGGCTTTCCAATATGCACTATTTGCATCAACGAGAGACATAACTCTACTTAAATATGTATCTTTATACCATCTAAAATGGATAAGTGAAGGACATCTAAAATTTTGTAATAAAGTCCTTATTCTTTCACCTTCATCGAGATATGCTCCGGTGAAGTGATGAGCTATGGCTAACATGAGTGTATATATCGCATCTTCCATTTGAATGCTATTTTCTATTTTTGTGGCATTTAATATTTCATTTTTTTTGGCTTCTATGGATAAATAATTATCCCACCATCCTTTAAGGATGCTAGTAAAGCCACAAGTAATATATTATGCTATAATTTTATCTGTATTATTATTTTGTTTACAAATTATATCATACATCAACATTCTATGTATAGTAGCATTTATCTGAGTATTAGATAAACCATCAATATTTCATTCATAAATGTTTCTATCGTTATAACCGGCTTGCAAATAAGCATCATTTTCTTCGAATAATACATCTGCTGGAGTAGGTCTTTTATAATAGTACATTTCCAGTCTTTTAGACTTGTTATTAATTTTATTAACATTAAAAAAATTGATCTTCTAATGTAAGTAATTCTTGTGGAGCTATTTCTCCATCTGAGTCATTTTCACTATTATCAATAGCTTTAATTGAACAAACTTCTTCTTTTTCAGAAGAACTTTCATGAGTATTAATAACTGATGATGTAGAAGCTACAGTTGATAAAGTGTGTAATTTTGAATTACTTAATTTTTTAGATAAAATATCTATTAGATCTGCAGATATTTCTGTACCACTTTTAAACCCAGTGATTTCTATTGGTGGTTTTATAGTGGGCTTTTCATAAGTAGATATTGGAATTTTACCCTTTTTAAATATTTTTAATGAAGGTAAAATTTCATTTAATTTCTTAATTAATCTGTCTAGGACATCTTCTATCCTAATTAATTATTGTCCTACAACTTGAAGATGTGCATTTGTATAGTTATTTTATTTAATAATTTTATTTAGCTCTTTGAGAGCTTCTTCTTGAGATTCGCTAGGCTTTTATAAAAGCTGTTGTTTCTAAATTGGTAGAAGAAATTCCTATTCTCGATAGTTTTAATGGGTCTGTGGGTGAATATATAGATCTAATAATAGCCCCTGAACTTGCTTTCCACTGTTTGTAGTGTTCTTCAAGAACCCTTATATATTTTTCTTGTTTTTAACATAGTATGTTAAAAACCATGGGACAAAGAATTCTACTTTTTGCTTTAACTTTAATTCTTTATAATATTTTTCTTTAAACTTTAATTGTTCTCTTTTAGAGAAATTTTTAAAAAACCATTTTCTAAAATCTTCGTGTTTTGACTCAAAAAATTCTTTATTTAGAATTTTTCTGATTAAGCTTCCTTCTTCAAAATCCATTTATTTCATACAAAAACTAATTTCAGAATTAGAAAGAGAAAATTTCTCTTCTTTATTATAGATAGCGTGTGGGATATCATTATCTAAAATATTAATTCCCTTTATTTCACTGGTTCTATAAGAACCTGATCTTGATATAGATCTTCTAGATGTACTAGCAACATCAGATAAATGAATAGTTCTTGATGGATTAAAAGTAATTTCAACCTCACCATCTACTGTTTGAGTAATCTGATCAATATATTGATTTATTACTGGTTGTGGTTGAATTGCATTGGGTATTACCCAACTGTCTGGGAAATTTATTTCATCCTACTTAATTTGCTTATTAACTGTAACATTTGATGTCAAAACATTTGTTTCTACCAGAACTGTTTTACCTAGTTTCGAATGGATTTTAGCTTTTGGAGCTAGCGTAGTTAGAATTTTAAAATGAATTCTATATATAATGTCACGTCCGATTCCAAAATGTAATAGTTTGGAGCGGATCTAGGGGTTCGGCGTTGGCGTCGTCGGAGGTGGAAGACGGCGAGGTGGCAGGGGGTGGAGGAGCTCGAATCTGGGTTGTTTGAAGGTGGCGAAGAAGATGGAGAGGAGGTGATGGAATGCAGGGTGCGGGGCTGGAGGCGTTCGCTGACGGTGCTGGGGCTCGCCGGAGAAGGCGGTGGTGGATCTGATGGCGGGGGTCGGAGCGGCTTGGGCGGAGGTTTTGGGCAGCGATGCGGGTTTCTTGGGTTTGAAGAGAGCACGAGGAGAGAGGGAGGAGATGACCTGAGTTTTTGGGAAATGGAGGGAGAGAGAACGAGTGAGCTGTGTGAGTTTTTGTGGGAAATGGAGGAGAGATAAAATGGGAGTACGGGAATTGGGGAGAAAAGAAGGAAATAATGTGTTTATGGAAGGGGAGATAGAGGAAATGTGAGAGAAATTATGGGAGATAAAAAAAGAATGAGTAAATATGGAAGAGAGAGAATTGTGGTTGTTGATTGAAAACCTGATTGAATTTGCACACGTTTAGGGGGGAGAGAAAATGCACGTGTTAGGAAGGAAAGTTTAGGGAGATAATAAGAGCGAATAATGGAGAGAGAGAGAGAGAGGGGAAAAGGGTATGAAGATATATTACCTTATATATAAGAATAACTATGGCAATAATAATTAAACAAATAATATTTAACAAAATAAATACAACCAGATATAAATATATATACTAATGTACTAAGATCAGATTTACATCAATAACAACAAGATTATTAATAATGACCAAATAATAACTTAAAATTATTCATCAAAACCATTAAAATAAATATAAAAATTGAATTGTTAAATCATAGTATATTCTAGAAAATTGAATAAATATAAATACTCTTTTTAAAATAATAATTTAATATTTAAAATATCAGAAAATTATTTAACTAGTATCAAAAATTCATGGTCCTTACATATAATAGCAATAGTCTCAGATCCAGATATAAAGTTATATCCATGTGTTTTAATATTTAGGCTTATTGACTCTAGAATATTTGGATCTGTCAGAGACATACTTAAATTATGATAGACGTTAAAATAGACTGGACCGTTACATAAACTGGTCTTCATAATTCCCATTAAAGATTGAGTCCAATTTAGACATCTGACATCTCTTAAACATGTTAATATAGATGTGTTTAACCCCTGTAATGTCAATGGTTTAAAAGCTATTTGTATTAAACATATATGTAGGTATTTGTATTTGTCCATATATGGCTTTATGTCTACTGGTCCAAGTAATTGAATAGTTTGCTCTTCTCTGTCGACCGTAGTGGTTCGTTCTAGAGTTTTAATGACAATTAAGGATTTATAATCTAAAAATCCTACTTTATAAATGTCTCTATTAGGGACATCTGGGATAGTCCATTTATTTAGACTTTTTATTTCAGAATTATATTCACTTAACTTTGTATTTTTTACTTTTTTACCCGTATAACGGGTTGCTTTGGATGAGCTTTCAACTATGTCCGACATAAATATTCTTAATGGTTTATCTAGTAAAAAATAATCAATAAAGATATAGATCTAATATTTTCTTTCTTTTCTGTAAAAAAACAACCTAGTTGCTAATAATGCACGTCTGTCAACGACTTACACTACCCTAAACTGCCATCTCCGGCTACAACAGGGCTTTACACTACGCGACTTGGGTGATGTCCCACAAAATTAACAACTAAGAACTTAATCACAGAAATGAAAGAACATATATTAAATCTACATTCTTATGAACTACTATTTACAGATAAACCATAAGAAGTAATTTAGCTAGACATGCTTGAGCCTAACATGACTCTGATACCAGAACTAAGCAGGGATCAAAACACATAATTTAACACAATATTAAGCAGCAAACTTTTTATAAAATACTTATTTACAATACAGAGAAGCTTACAATAAGTAAACACTTACAATTTTAAACCGGCACACTTTGCTATTACTTTTTCTTTAGCCCCCCCCCACACCACCACAGCAACCCACTCCCCACACACACGGACGTATTAGTATATGCGTCATGCATGTGTTTTATGTATGCATGCTATACATGTTAGATGGTACTTTTCGGAAGAAATGTTTAACATACCAACACACTTTTTATAATAGTATTAGATTATATGCTATTAAGCTGCTTAAACTAGTTGTAACATCCAACCCCCCCAACTTCTCTCTCCCGCCCCCCCCCCATTAATACCAAGGGTCGAGGATTTGCTGCTGCATTGGGCTTGGGGCCCTGCTAAATTCACCCTACGCTCCACAATTATGAGTGGGCTGGGGCACTACATGGGCCCTCATTAGGCCGGAGAATGAAGAACGTACCCGACCCATTACCATCCCGAGCTCCCTCTCCTTCGCAAAATTTACCTTCATATCCCCCTTTTTTTTTCTTACCCCTTGTATAATTTGCCCCCCTTTCTCGAATTTCCCCCCTCTTGAGCTGATGGAAAAGAAGAAATCGACGGCCATAGAATTTACGATTTTGAGCTGTAAAGGTCTCCAGCTCGATTCGAATCCCAAAAGCTCTTCTTCTCCTTCAATTCATCATTTCAGCGGTAAAGATTTTGTTGCTCAAATTTACGATTTTGAGTAGATTTTGTTGGTAGAGAATCGGTTTTGCCCATAAATTTGTTGGATTAATCGTGGTTTATCATCAAAATTTCACCTTTTTATCTGGGCTATGTGGTTCCAGGAGATGATTGATGGTTTTTTCAACTAGTTTTTACTTCGGTTTTGAGTTTTTAAGCTCATATTATAATTATGCTGGTTTATTTGTTATTTACTATGTCTTTTTATTTGAATTGAATTGTTTTAAATTGTAGGGTACCATAAAAAGTTTACTCTTTTTTTAATTGGGCAATATGATGTAGTTCTTGTGGATTATTCTAAGCCTATTTTTAGCCTAAATAAGAAAAAGGGTATTGAGCTTGTTGAAGCTAATTATACCCTAACCCCTCTGTGATGAAGAATGAAGTGTCTTTTGATTGCAATCTTTGAGGTCATGTAAGCTGTCTACCTCTTCTTACTTTAGAGAAGAGGAGACAAAAAATATGAACAGAGGAGCAAGGTTACAAAAGGAAGTGAGCTTGGTTAGATGTCTGAGGAGTTAGATTGGTGTGTCAGTGATAAGTTGAAACAGTGGATCATGAAAAAGGATAGATGATAAGATGATGAGGATAAGGGTTGCAAGTTAGAAAATAATTGAAAGGAGATTAACAGAGGTGTATCATTCCATTTGCGCCTATCTCTGGCATCTTACAAGACTTTAGACCTTTTGTTTTCAGTTTACGTAGATAGTTTGTGGATGTTTGTGATCTCAGACTTGTGGTGCCACATCGCTGGCCTAATGAACCAGTCCCTTGTTGCCTTAACTGAATAATTGGATTTTGTAATTCTATGTATCAGTTATGATGAATATCAACATTTGTTTCTGATTTAGTTTAATTAAAAATATGCAGCATGAGCCATTATCATCAGTTAACTATTTGTATAAATGTAACTTTCTTTATATGTTTGCTATTACTTGATTATCTTCTTTTTTATTAGCGTTTTTCTCTTTATAGCTTATCCTTTTTGTGATTTTTAGATTTGCTGCTACGAAGAAACAAGCCCCGGAGTTTAGTCAGCTTGTGCCTTGGAGTCCTTGGGCAATTCTTTGAGGATATTGTTGCAGATTTGTCCGATGTTGCTTCAGAATTCCCACCTGATGCTAAGGTATTTTCATGGGGATGTATTTAAATCCTAGTAACTTTGTGATTTCATTTTTGTTCTCACTTAATGGAATCGTCTCTTCACGAATTTTAGTAATTGCATTCATTTTCTTTTAAGAAAATAATTATATGTAAAGGTCTCATTACATAAATTCCGGGCTTGTATACTTCAACAACACTGCACTATTCCCAACAAGAACTGAAGCGGGGAAGCTCTACTTTCTGCACACAAAGGGAAGCTTCATTCTGGCCATAGAAAACTTTCCACATCCCAGAGTCCGGAGACCTCAAGTCTAGGTAGATTTGCTTATATTTAGGTTTAGATTTTAGGATGAAATTTTAATTCTATGGTGTTGTTGCGTATCTCTTTTTGAGGTACACCTAGGTTACTCGGACATGGCATTTTGGATGCCGTGTCTGTGTCCTACAAGGACTCTCTGAGGGCACGCCATGGACACGTGTGGTTCAAAGCAAATCCCTATTAGTTATACCCATAACTAGTTTGGTAATATTGGGTTCAAAACCAATCAGTTTTTGAACTCGAAAACTGAAACCCATTACTTAATTTGAAGAATACCCATTGTATTATCCCATGCGATCAAAACTAAACTTTTTTTGTTATGCCTTATTCTTAGTTTGATTTAATTTGATTCTTAATTGTTATAGATAATAGAAAAAAACATACAAATATTATTGGTATTTTAATTCAATAATATTTTATATATATATATATATAAACTAATATTTTCCAACATAAGACAAAGAAGCATATAAGCAACATGTTTATAAATTGTCACATAAAAAGATCAAGAAATATAATTTCACCTACTAAATGATGAAAGTCTTAATTAGCATGCATAACATAGAGAAGTTCATAAGTTTTCACAAATCACAATGAAAGATAATCTCCAACATAAGCAAAGTCTATGAAACAAAACAAGCAAGTAACAAATAAGAAATATGTATTTTTATTTAAAATATGATATATGTATTTTTAAGTAACAATTAAGTGATTAAAAAAACATGATTGTTCATAATTTTCTAGTTAGCATTCTTAATTGCTATTTGCTAGTTAGCATGAAAAGATGGAGAATGGAGGTAACAATTACATGTTCATAATTTTCTAGTTAGCATGCTAATTAGAGAAGGAAGTTACAATTAGCAAACAAGTATACTAAATTACTAATTATTGTTTCCTTTTTATAGGTTAAACATGAAAAGATAGAGAATGGAATAGCAACTAGCAAGAAAGAGTCTATTACATGATGTAAATATGTAATATGCAAATTATTAAAAAAACAGAAGAAAAAATCTATTACATGACGTAGGTGTCAAGCGCACACGAGGCCCACACAAGGCGCGCATCTCGTGTGCGTGCAACGCCCCGCCTCTGGTGCAGTGCGCAATTGTCCCAGCCCGCAGCGCCCCACGCCCGGGGTGCGCGCCTCGATAACAATGTGTGTGTATACACGTATACTGTATATACATACGTATACACGTATATACGTATACGTATGTATATACACGTGTATACGTGTATATACGTATACGTATGTATATACACATGTATACGTATATACATGTCTACGTATATGTATACATGTATATACGTGTATACATATATGTATGTATATGTGTGTGTGTATATATAGTCATGTCCCCGTACCTACATTTTACAAATTTGCCATGTCCCGTGTCCATAATTGTGTCCGTGTCCGCACCTGTATTTGTGCTACCTAGAGGTACACGGAGCTTTTTTCTTTATAGATTTAGGAATATTGAGCTCAGGCGAATCTTTTGTTCTATGCATAGATTTTTTTTTTTTACTTCACTGAGTTGTGAGTGTTGATGTTAGCACTGTGATTACCTCCTTTTGGGGAACTAAAATGGCCATATAAATAATAGAAGGCTTGGATACCTATTAATTGGGTATTTTAACAAGTGCGGATGGGGTTTATATGAAATAATTTCATGTAGCTAGTCAAGATATTATAAAATTTATGTAAGTGTAAATGTGTACATGATCTAATGTGGAGCACTTGATATAAATGCTAGTGTAGGATAATGTATCTCATCAGCTAACCTTTTATGCTTTAGCATTCATGACGAAACTTAAGTCTAGAATTCATCAAGAAAGGTGGTGGATTGCAGTTAGATGGTTGACTTCCAATTTCCACATTTCAAATATTTTAGTTAAAGCTGACAGATTGTAGTCAATTCAATGGTATTATTTGACTGTCCTGCATATAACATCGAGCTAACTATTAAATATTAGATTTTGCATTTATGTGTGTATGCATGTGTCTCTATGGGTGTGTATGATGCACATGGCACGGCATTATGTAATTGTAAACTAACTCTTTCTCCATGTGTCCATGTCTCCGATGTATGATGAACATGTCTCTGACCAAACTTTTCTTTCATAAGCTTGCTTCCTTTCCTTTATGGTTTCATTACCATTTTAGTAGATTAAGCATGAATTTGACTTGCAGTTGGCAATGGTGGCTATTGCAAGGAGGAGACAGTTACTGAATGACCATGTCCTCCTTTCTCTGGCAGAAAGTTCTTGGGCTCTTCTAGATATCTCTGGGTCTGATGTCAGTGATTCTGGATTGTCAAAAGTGGCAGAAATGTGTATTAATTTGCAAGCTGTTGATATAAGGTATGAAGAAGGAAATGTAGTTAGTTCTCACCACCATTTTACATGCAAGGAATTCTTCCAGTTAGAATTCTCAAGTTTCTTTCTTTTTAATCATCCACAAAAGGTGTATTTGCAATTTGAGTTCCCGAGAACTTTGTTAGTTCTTTATATTAATTATATCTACTCCTCTATACAAATAGGAGAACCCAAGCTTCACTATTTGTGCTACAGTAAATGTTGCAGCAACATTTACTGTAGTATTATTACTGTAGCAAACAGAAAACGGGATGCTACAACATTATTTTTGGAAATTATTGCTGTAGCACACGGGAATATTGTAGCGTTTTTTGAAAACCCTGTAGCAGATGCGGGATACTGTGGTAATTTAATATTAAAAAAATTACTGTAGCATTTAAACTGGAATTACTGCAGCGGGAAAAAATGATATACCGTATGCCGTGCTTTGCGCGGTGTTCACACTAGTTACTTAGTAAATATGAAATAATCATTGAACATGCTAATATATCAACTAAAAAAATCTGGAATGGGAATTTGAGTAAGTATATGGATGGAATGCCAAACAAAAAATATTCATATGTACTCATAAAATTACTTGAAATGAACTGTTACGTAGTGTGGGAACTTGTATCTCTTTTAAGAGTCCAATATGTTCTTTACATAGTAACAAGGGCACAAATTATTTATGTCAACAATAAGTGCACATATTGTTCTAAAAGTCAATAACTACAAAAAGATATCACAATAATTTGTCCAAACAGTATATAGTAATTGCAAATAATTTTCTACATGTGTTATTGTATGAGAAAGGACCACTGTCAGGATGATATTTATGTTTTTACTTGAAGAGCAATGAATATGGTGATCAGGGATGACTCAGGATTGTTTGGCTGGGGAGGGGCATAGTGTCACGGATGAGGGAAAAAAATCAAGCTTGTTGTTTCCATTTGTTGATTCCAAAAAGATCGTCGTGTGTGAATTTAACAACACAAATACTCTAGACTAACTTAGTCCAATTACCCCCAACAAGTAAGGAAAAGTCAATTTAAACCCACTCTCAAATACACATTGATCCTAGTCCTTCACACTTGGAAGAAAATGCTTTTATCCGTTCCCTGAAATCACAATAGATTAGCACGACATGCTTAACATTAATGATTTCCTCTTATATATTCCCTGAAATCACCAATGTAACTTTTTTGCTTTATTTATGCATTTTAAATTATTACAAAGTAGTGTCTTTCCTATATCAGTCCCTTAAAATTTGAAATTAATACCTCAAATCACTGAAATTGCTAACAGGTCCCCCAATTGTTGTAAGCTATGAAGTACGGACACGCATAACATGAAGCCGTGTCGTGTTGTGTCCGTGTCGGACACACGTGTCGAACACACGTATCCTATGTATTTTTTTGTAAGTTGTTTAAAGTTAGTCCATTAAGTTGCTAAAGTTGCTATTAGGCCCCTTAATTTTCGTAAGTTGTTTTGAGTTAATCCCTCCAATCAAGAGTAGCACCACGAGATATAAAATTTGGGGCATCTAATAGCAATTCAATAAATGTTCTAAATATTATAGATTTAAGGGACTAATATCAAAAGCCATAGAAAATATGATAATTCTAATGGTTTTTTTTGGGAAAAAGTTTTGTTAGCATATACAAACCAAATTTTGAGGAGTGGGTCCCACATTGTGGTCAGCGTTTGCCAGCTCTGAAGCACGGATTCGCCCCCGGAGGCCACGAATCTGTGTCCGACTCGAATCGGACACGAATTCGTCACGACACGTGCACGACACGTGTCGGACACGGTCAATCCGTGTCGGACACGGGTTAACGGTCAAATTAGGCTCGGACACGGTCAAAGGAGCTCGGACACGGCTCGGATTCGCCGAAGGTCGATTCATTCAGGTTGCGTGTTTGGTTGTTAAAATCCAACCCGAACCATTCGATTAAAAAACCCATCCCTATTTCTCAAATCTCTCGTTCGATTTGATCCTTAGCCGACTCAAAAGAAAGAAAAAAAAAAAAAGAAAAAGCCCATGGCAGTATTGTTTTGCTGATGATGAAGGCAATGAAGAAGTCATCGGACTAGCTTCTACTTCATTTTGAGGTACTTTTTGTTTACAAACTTGTTATTTTGTGATAGATTCCTATTTTAGATTGTTAGTTGAATTTTATAATTTTTTTTATATATATTAATAATTTAAAAAAAAATCCTTGTCGTATCCCCGTATCCTATTTTTTTTTGGATTTTGACGTATCTCGTATCCGTGTTCGTGTCGTATCTGTGTCCCGTATCCGTATCCGTGCATCATAGTTTGCCAGCTAGGAGCCTAGGATAAAGTACTATTATACCTAAATTGAATGAATAACATCCAAGTTCCTTCAATTTGTTCACTGTAGTATAGCCTATGCTTTATAGGTATAAATATATAAATTAAAAATTTTG